GGGGCGGGGCCGGCGGGGCTCGCGGCCGCGGCAGCCCTGCGTGCGCTTGGGTAGTAAATATTGAGGAGCAGCTCCGGGGGCTCGCCCAGCACCGCGATTGTGCGGAAAGTGACACGATTTGCTCGGATTCTTTTCTTCCTGCTGTTCGCGACTGAGGATTCCGGGGGGCGTTTAAATAAAAAAATAAGGGAAAATTACGGAATACTTTGGGGGTGTGTCTGGGGTCCGGGAACTGAGGCAGAGTGAGAGAATTCAGTTTATTCTCCAGTCCCCCCTTTTCCCTCCCTCCCTCTCCCGGGCAGCGGGGGCTCGTGGCACGGCTTCTCTGCGGATTAGTTGCTAGGGGAGCAGCCGGGAGTCGGGGTGCTGGGACCCGGAGGCGCCCCCGCCCCCCACCGGGAAAATTGCTCTCCAACTCTTTTGTTTTTCAAAATCGGTTCGGGCGGCCGAGCCCGTGTTCGGACGCTGGTCAGCGGACCAGCCAGGGCGCAGCAAGGTAGCGGGGGTCACGGTTTAGGGGGCAGCTCCGGTTCTGGGGGTGTGCGCGGAAATAGCAAGTTTGTTGGGATCCGGGCGAGCGCGTTGCGTTCAAGTCCAAAGCTCCCGCACCCGCCCGGGGCTGGAGCACGGCCCCAAGCTGGGCTGAACTCACGGCCCCTGTCCCGGCGTGTCAGGGCCGCGGGGGCCAGAGCGAGGCGGACCTTGCTGGTGGCTCGGATGGGGGGCGCCGGCCCGGGCTGCTGCGCAGCTCCGTTTGGCCAGAGCACAGGACGGTCAGGGGTACGTAGGGAGGGGGGTTACGCTCCCGGCTCTGGCGCTCTCATCCCCGAGAGGGAGAACGCGCAGGGACCGGCCCCCTAGAGCTGCCGCGGGGCGACGACAGTCCTCGCCTCGGGCTTGCTGGACGTGTCTATGCGGTCCCGCCGGAGAAACGCTGGCGGAGAAAATTGAGTTCTCTGAAACATGGGGCGGGCCTTTTAGACGCCAACTCCCGCTTGGTGGTGAACTCGCCTGATCCACCCGCCGCGGGCACTGCCTTTCGTGAATGGCACGGGAAAAGCGTCGGGGCTCCCAGCACTCTGGCGAGTCGTCCCCAAACAGCTTTTAACGTGATACCGAGGTATTAAGCGCAGGGCATCCTCAGCCCAGGGGCTCCCCACCGGGACAGAGTCTCAGCTCCCAGTCTTGGTCCGTTCGGGGACACACACACACACACACACACACACACACACACACACAGAGCTGTGAGTTAAGTGAACCACAGACCTCACCCCAGGGAGAACCCCTGAAGCTTAGTAGAGTGTAAAACACGCTGAAAGGGCTGAGCTGTTGTGCCCGTGGTGTCAGGCAAGTTAGGGAAGAGGGGAATGACTCTCGGGCTAGGCAGAAAGGCTTTCCTCACGCAGGGAGCCCTTGAGCTAGGAGCCAGATGAAAGGTACGGGGAACTTGGACCAGCGCAGAGGAGTTGATGTCAAGTTTTATTTGCTGTAACACAGTTCTTTGCATCAAAAATCATTTTTGCCTTCAAACGCAAATATTGTGTTTGTTACATTTTAGTTTGCTTGTGGTGTGGATATTAAGTTTTTTTAAAAAAAGTAGCAGTTCTATTTTAGAAAGTAAAGACAGTCCACAGTGGTGACAGAACCAGGAGGTCAGAATCATTTTGGCGGGGAAACTGGACACACAGCTCACCGAATTTATGAGGAATTGCAGGCTCCCCCAAGAAGATGATGACTTGGACACCCATTTTCCTCGTAGGGGCCGATGTAATTTAAAAGTGAAATGCTTTGGAAAATCAGGAATTACTTCAATATATTAAATCATTTTCCAA